TACACAGGTTCTCGAAAGATGTTAGGTAGTCAGGAAACTGGCTATCGCATTTGGAGAGACCCTACAAAAAAATAAAAAAATAAAAAGTACAAATTCCAAAAAAAGGTAAAAATTTTAAAAACCAAAAATAGTTGAAGGTTATTTGTTGTTCTCGTCGTTGTTACTGTTCTACTGTTACTTTTTTTTACACTGTTTTATTGTTACTGTTTTATTGCTAACCACTGCTGCTTGCTTTGCAGGAATGCTTTCAGCTGCAGCACCGACCTGTTTATTCTGACAGCAACAGGAACTTGCTCTCAGAATATACATAAGTAGATGTGGGCAGTGCTGTTGGATGAGATTTTTTATCTGCAGTTAAAAAAGAGCATATATGCCAAAGCATGGGAGACTGGGGTGGTCAGTGCGTGGATAGCCCCTATGCTTCAACATATATTTTATAATAATTATTGGCACCTTCCAGGTGTGCCCACCATTAGAAGTGGGTGGATGCAGGGAGGTATATTCTAATGGTGGTCATACCCCACACTTTTTCTGGCAGAGATATTTCAATAAAAAAAGTTGTTTTATTGAGTTACTGTTTTATTGTTAACCATTGCTGATTTTTTTGCAGGAATGTTATTTAGCAACAGGGTCTTGCTCTCAGAATATACATAAGTAGGTGTGTGCAGTGCTGTTGGATGAGATTTTTCATTCGCAGTTAAAAAAAGGGCATATATGCCGAAGCATGGGAGCCTGGGGTGGCCAGTGGGTGTATGGCCCCTATGCTTTGGCATTAATATTTTATAATATCTGTTAGCACAGTCCATGTGTGCCCACCATTAGAAGTGGGTGGATGCAGGGAGGTATAGTCTCATGGTGAGCATACCACACACTTTTTCTGGCAGAGATTTCCTCTCTGTTTTTTTCATTCAGCCCACAGGCTGCATACAAAAAAAAAACATAGCATAGACACCGAACAAGGACCAGCGATGTACTGGTACATCACTGGACTTTGAGTGGTTATACCAGGATGATGCCTGCAGCTGCAGGCATCATCCTGGTATTGTTTTTTTTTTTTCAGCCGGCGATGGGCTTTCACATAAAAGCAATCAATCCTAGTGGCTAATTAGCTGCAGGATTGCTTTTACAAGCAGCAGGAGAAGATGCTCCCCTCTCCCCGCTGCCTTCCACGGCCTTCTTGGGCAGTCCAGCGCCATCGGGGGAACTTGAGAATGCAGCGGGTGTTTCTGCCAGCTGACCATAGAGCTGATTGGAGACCGGAATGGTGCCAATCATGTCTGTAGCTTAAGAAATCAGAAGCTGCGAGCATTTCATCACTTTAGTTTTGCAGGATATAAACAGCGCCATTTGTAAATTGGAAAAGCATCTGATCACACTGATCTTGGTGAGATTAGATAATGTAAGGGCAGAGGAGATATCTAGAGTTTGATAGACCCCATATTTCTCAAAAAAGAATATAGGACAATGCCCATGGAAGTTTTTGGCCGATATTTGAATTCCCTGTGATAAAAAAAATTAAAGGGACAGTGTTCAAATAATTAAAAAAATCAAAATAACTTAAAAAAAAAGTACCCTCACCCCCACGCTTTGACCACGTGCCAATATGTAAACAGCAGTTGCACAATGCATGTGAGGTATCGCCACAAATGTCACATCAAGGGCAGTAATTCTAGTACTAAACCTCCTCTGTAAATCTAAAATGGTAGCTTGTAAAGGCTTTTAAAGCATTACCTCTGGATATTAAAAATGTATGCGGTTTGTCGCCATTGAACGGGGCATGCGCAGTTTTAAAACATGTCATGTTCCAAAAAGGTGTCATTTTGGGGGGTTTGGTGCTATCCTAGCATTTCAGGGCCTCCAAAACAGTGATAGGTAGTGAGGAAGTGAAATGAGGAAGTTATGCACCTTCAGGCTTTCAAAGTGGTCATTGGATTTCAGGCTCCTGTATGTAGCTAGGCTCTCAAAAAGTCTCACACATGTGGTATCCCCATACTCGGTAGAAGTAGCAGAATGTATTTTGGGGTGTAATTCCACATATACCCATGGCTTGTGCGAGCAATATATCATTTAATTGACAACTTTGTGTAAAACAAAAACTTTTTTTGTCATTTTCATAAAACTTGTGGAAAATAAAATACATTTTCCATGAACTCAATATGCCTCTTATCAGATAGCTTAGGGTGTCTACATTTCGAAAAGGGGTAATTTGGGGGTGTTTGTACTGTCCTGGTATTTTAGCACCTCAAGAAATGTGATAGGCAGTCAGAAAGTAAAAGCTGTGTAAATTTAGAACACCCAACATTAGAGGTTATTATTCTTCCAAAGCAAATACACTTTTCCACTCTGGTACTGACTAGTATTCCAGTGTTTCTCTTCTCCCTCAGTTTTTCTCCATCACTGAGCTAATGTGACCCAGCACTGATGGAAATGGGCAGGGGAGGGTCAAACTAGGATGCTGTGCAGGCAGCTGACATCCTCCTCATCAACTGATGTAATTAGTCAGGACGCTGGCGGCTAAAAGGTTGTAATGGTGCATAATAAAAACCTGTGGCTTTGTGTATCTAAAAGGCAGGCTTGTTCCACCCGCTGGCTTGTATACAAGTTTTGGGCAATTTTTATACATTTTACCAAGGCACCCCTGAAGAAACCTCAAATCACCTCAGGGTGCCTGGGCACCCTGGTTGAGAAAGGCTGATCTATACCATAGTTTGCAGACGGTATAACTTTCACACAAATTAATCAATATACACTTATTTACGAGGGACCGAATTTTGTGGAGCCAGTCAAATTCAGGGTCACCCCAAGGACGACTGAGTGTGTTGTTGCTGAAATGCATAAAATGCATTATATTCTCATATCTATGCCTGGCCATGGCAGCAGAATACATTTTGGCCTAAATTTATGATGAAATGTGAGTTTTTTGGATATTTTTTGACAGAAATTAGAAAATATTTTTTTTTTCAAAATTTTTTTGTCTTTTTTTGTTTATAGAGCAAAAAATAAAAAGCACATGGGTGATCAAATACCACCAAAAGAAAGCTCTATTTTTGTGAAAGAAAGGACATACATTTAGTTTGGTTACAGCATTGCATGACCGCGCAATTGTCAGTTAAACTAGTGCAGTGCTGTAATTAAAAAAATTGCATATTTTGCAGTATCTATACCATAGTTTGTAGACACTATAACTTTCACACAAAGCAATCAATATACACTTATTGGGATTTTTTACCAAAAACATGTAGCAGAATACATTTTGGCCTAAATTTATGACTAACTTTGAGATTACTATATATTTTTTATAGTGTTTTTTTCAACATTTTTGATCTTTTTTTGTTTATCGCACGAAAAATAAAAAGTGCACAGGTGATCAAATACCACCAAAAGAAAGCTCTATTTTTGTGAAAAAAAGGACAGAAATTTTGTTTGAGTACAGCATTGTATGACCGCATAATTATCAGTTGAAATAGTGCAGCGCCGAGTGGCAAAAAAAAAAAGGCCTGGTCATTAAGGGGGGTAAATCATCTGGAGGGCAAGTGGTTAATAATAATAATAAAAAATAATAATAATAATAACACAATCTTATACAGCAAGTTAAAGAACAAAGTGCAGTAACTCATAGCAACAAACCTAAATTCTTCTTTCAGCCATTTGATCTAGAAAATGAGACTATTATTGATGGTGCTGGGTTTCTGCACAATTCTCCTAAAACCTATTACAAGCATTCAAAGAAAGTTCTTAGAACAAATTTGGATATGGCCGCATGTTGTACTAAAATGTGTCCACAAGATGTCAATGTTGCATCTTGAAAGGATGTTATCTGAACCAACGTGGTGTTTGAAATCACACTAGAATTTGGGAAAAACAAGATCTTTATCTTTCAGTTATGTAATTCTAGAAAGATAGATTTCTACAGATACCTTCACTAGAATGTATGTACACTTCTAGACAAACCTTTCCCTGAATTCCCCGATGCACAATGAGTTCATCCGAGGACATACAAAAAGCTGTATCTGCCTAGACACTCAAATTAGTATATTAATTTGATAATCTATATTGACTTCCCTTTAATCTAGTTAAAACAAAAGAAATACGTAATATCTTTGAAAACAGCCTGCAAAGGTTATCTGGGGGGAATGACCATAGAATACATGGCTGATAATTCACTAAACCAAAGACTGGTGCCAAAGAAATAAAACTGTAGACATATTAATTTTCTGAAAGGAAAAAAGTTTAGGAAATTGTTTCTATCTCTGTAAAAACAACAGATATTTGTGTGCGCCCAGAAATTCACAATTATTAAATTGCCAAAATGAAGGATGCATTTAATAAGAGCACCTGTGCTCTACAAATTTTATCTCTGAAATTGGAAGACTCACTAGTTCTTTGTTCCCTGAGGCTGCATTTATCATGGAATGGCTGCCACAACTGAGCATACTATTAGATCCAACTGAAAAATAATTGCTTTGGATATAAACACAAACCAAGTGACACAATCAAGCCAATATGTTCACCTCAAAGAGGGGAAACAAACATGATTTTGGCAAAATATACAGTAAGTGTCATTAAATGAGTGAGACATGGTTTGCAAAATATGGGTGGTCTTCAGTAGGCACTGGGAAAGCAATTAGAGTATCCATATTTGGACATGCCCTGGGTGGTTACATAAAACTCACCTTCTTTGGGACCCAAAAAGAGGGACTGTTGGGAGGAATGCCTCAATATATTAAAAACATAATTATTATTTTTTTAGATTTCAGAGGCACTGTTGTGTCCTAAAATGGCCTTAGACCCATTCCTTTGTTTGTTTATTTTTAATGAAAGAGCTATGAAGCTATATTATGGATGAATTTACAAAACCATAGCCTATATTAAAATGCTATGCTTGGGCATCTCATGTTTTCATTGCCATAACATTAATACCAATCTGCATTTTAGCAAGACGCATAACTCAAGTCAATACAATATTTATTTAAAAATCTTTAAAGTTGCAGTCCCATTACCTTTCTGGATGACAAGAATTCCATACCCCTGGCCACTTGGAAACTGTAGCAAATCAGATCTTCCATGGTGAGTGGACAATGCCACAAATCTTTCACTGCATAAAAACACATTTAAAAATAATTGTGGAATAGTCTGTAAAATATTGTTTACCTGTGCTATGGGACATTATTATACCATAAAAAGTATTCTTAATAATCTCAGTTTATGATTGAGGTTACTTTTAGCTAGCCAACCACAGGAGATGCTAGTAAAATGTTTTATCCTTTTGCTAAGCTATCATATCAGTGCAGAAAGAAACATAGTTTGAACAGGATTCTAACATGGGACCATGTATGAACTGGGCTCTTCAATGGAACAATTTCAGAAGAACTACAGTCATTCTTGCCTGTACCTTGGTCCAGTTCTGGAATCTGGTGACAAGACATTACTACCAGTGAGCACATTTCTGCAGATTGAACCCATATTGCTATGACATATGCTTCCATGTAAAGTTTGACCCAACCATGTGGAATATATTATTACAGGCAGGCATATCCTGCTATTTCACCAGTTAAAAGTAGTGACATTACTCAACCCATACCCACAAAATCTGCCCTAATCCTTTCGTAGTGTTGTGTGCTAATTCTTACACTCTGGGTTCCTCTGACTCTGATTTTTGGTTATCAGCATCCTTCCAAAAATGGCCTCTTCGTTGACTCCTTCTCTGCTTATCCTGTCAGCTATTACAGCCTCCACCATTGATCGGACTTGACTGCGTGACCGTGGAGATCTCTCCTGCAAAGTATGTAAGGACAGTAAAACTATTAGCAGTTTGTTAAATGTGCAAGTGGCACAGATTGACTGATAAAGAAAAGGTATAGTTCCATACATTTTGGTAAAATGTGCCCAAAACAACCAAAAAGCTTGTTGTGAAAAACACTGTAGGGCACAGCAATGGTTACCACATTTGAGTTGTATAGAAATGATTCACCTATCTTCATTCTCTTACAAATTCTGTCACTCACAATGTTCTACACTGGGTATTTAAAGCAGTATTAAACACAAATCAAACATTTATCATACTTCAGCTTACCATTTCTTAGTTGTGATGGCTGCATTAGTTTTCTTTTTTAGGCTTTATTTCTTCTATTTTCAACTGGTGACTTTTATAAATCTGTTGTTTTTAAATAGAAAAGCTGCCCTGCAGATTTATCAGTTACAAGGATAAGCCAAACCATTCAACATTGGCAGGGGTGCTTAAAATAAACAGGTTTATTTATTTTTTAATGTAATACCTTTATCCCAAAAGAAAAAAAAATGTTTGCTGCAACTGCTTATATAGTGTTAGCTTGAGTTTGGCTTTAATTTGCTAGTGTCTTTAAATGTGACATTTAACACTTCCTGACTGACAGTGCTGCTGTTCAAATGAGCTAACTATGCTCTTTCATCCAGATTGGGAGCACTCTGCAGGAGGTGTGTTACTAGCCTGATCACCAGGTGCATACAGAGGTGAAAAAAGCCTAAAAACAAAATACAGCCACCACATCTAATGATTGGTAAGCTGCAATATATTACATTTTTGGTTTTGGGTTTAATATCACTTTAATCTTTGGTAACATATCTGCAAAGGTTGCATGTCAAGGGATGCTTGGGTGATGCAATGTTTCTAATGACAGAATTGGGACTAGTCACATGCATATAGCAGCTAAGCTCTCACACCTAGCACTTTACTTTACTTATCCATCCAGCCATACTATCAGAGAGGTGTGCTATTGGCCCCAAATTTGTTCTTCAGCAGGACACATATCCCAAACATACAGTCAATGCCATAAAAAACTAGCAGTCCTGGAAGTGATGGTTTGGCCCCCGCAGACCCCTGACTTAAAGAGACAGAAGGATTTGAGGCAGCCTACATCCACAGAAGATATGTGGTTAGTTCTCCAAAATGTATCAAACAACCTATCTGCTGAGTTCCTTCAAAAATGGTGTGCAAGTGTACCTAGAATAATTGATGCCTAGAAGTTTTGAAGGCAAAGAGAAGTCACACCAAATACTGATTTGATTTGGATTCTCTTCTGTTCACTCACTTTTTGTTACTCATTTTGTGGGGGAAGAGGAACCAGGGGAGTATTCAGGCGGCCTGGGCAGCAGAAGGAAGACGAACAAGGACAAGAGGGGCAACGCAGACAGCATTTACTGGAACAAATTACCTGTATTTTCCTCCTGCAGCAACTGAATGCTGGCTGGAGGGAAAGAAGGAGAAGCCAGATTTCAACTGCTGCAAGGGGAAAATACAGGTGATCTGTTCCAGTCAATGCTACCCCTGCTGCTGTCAAGGTTCCAGGGGTCGGCAAGGAAGGGATACAATCTACTCGCCACCTGCCTGTGACTGACGGGTAGATCACAATCTATGGGTTACCGACCCCTAGGCTAGTGGTATGTTTCTAGCTGGCTTAAATAGCTTCTATCTAAAGAAAGCTAGATCCTGCGCATTTTAAAGACCATGTCGTTTATCAACTACTAAGTATACACAACCATGGCCTAAAATGTATATACAAAGTGGAAGCCTACAGTTACATACAGCAGCACTTTTATGCTTCTCTCCACACCTTTTGCCTGATTGACAGCATACTGTGTCCCTGTGTCATGCTTACTCAGTGTTTTGCTGAGCAAATTTCCATTCAGTGACAAAAAAAACCTGTTACCAGTTTGAATGTTTGCAGTGACACCTCCTCCTAGGATACAACTTTTCAAATAGGGAAAGACACAGTTCGCTTGGCATGGGTGTCATTCAGAAATTGGCTTGCATGTTTCTCAAAGGCACCCATGTTGAGTTGGCAAGCCCTATGGTTGCTATACAGAATACATATAATACATATCTGTATTCTATACAGAATACATATAAAGTATATACATATATACACAGAATACAGAAGAGCAATCACTCAGCACAGTATCCAGAAAACAGTTGATTCCTAGAGTATCCATGGCCACTACAATGATTCTCTGTTTTCACAGGCATTGCTCAAGTATAAACCATATATGAAGTTCATCTTTAATGCACATTTTAGCACATTGCAGCACATTGTGCTATGTATAAATGCAGCATGTTCCATTTTCACCCAGTGCACAGCAACGCAGCATGCTGGCGTGAACGAATCCTACTGCAAATAGTGGATTCAGTTTGTCATTGTATTGGGCATTTGTTAAGCAATGTGAATGGGCACTTAGCTAACTTAGAATTGTTTTTTATATTTAAAAGATTGAAAAATATTAAAAAATTATTTTTTAAATAAGAAGCAGAGTTACATCCAAGCCTTTACTTGGATACATTTGGTAACACTGTGTATTACTGGTCTCAAGGTACAGGACTTCTTGTAGCAGAGGGATTGTGGAAGAAGCATATGATCTAAAGTATTTAATTATTTAATAAACTTCCCATGCCAGCTAGTAACTTACTTCCCATTTCCCAAATGGAAAACAGATGCTACATAAACAGAATCAAGTTGTGGAAGATAAATGAGGAATGGCAATGGACCATATGATGGATGATAAGAAAGGCAGGCCAAGTGAGAGGGTGTGTGATGGTGTCTACGTACCCGATAAGGAATGAATCCATCTCTCTTTGTTCTCAGATAATTGGACAGATTTCCATACTTGCAAAATTCTACAATGACCATCAGTGGCCCTGAAATATACATATAATATTGTTATAATGACTGAATAAATACACTTTATTAGGTACACCTTGCTAGTGCCAAGAAAATATCCCCCACACGATTACACCACCACCTGCCTAAACCGTTGATACAAGGCAGGATAGATCCATACTTTCATGGTGTTTATGCCAAATTCTGACCCTACCATCTGAATGTCGCAGCAACCAGTCTGACAATCCTCCAATTTTCCACACAACTGCAGCTTACTGGATATTTTCTCTTTTCGGACCATTGTCTGTAAACCCTAGGGGTGATTGTGCGTAAAAATCTTAGTAGATCAGCAGTTTTTTAAATACTCAGACAAGCCCATCTTGCACCAACAGCCATGCCACATTCAAAATCACCTAAATCCCCTTTCTTCCTCATTCTGATGCTTGGTTTGAACTTCAGCAAGTCATCTTCCCCACGTCTACATGCCTAAATTCATTGAGTTGCTGCCATGTGATTGGCTGATTAGCAATTTGTGTTACCAATCAATTGAACAAGTGTACCGAATAACATGGCCAGTGGGTGTATATGCATTGATATAATCAGGCACAGTACATTTACGCAGAGAGTAATAATTATGTGGGAATTGCAATACAAGCAATAATAAAAGATTGGTGATTAGTTTCTGTAAATTGCTTACCTTACACACTGCTTATTGCCTTACTGCCCAAAAAGGTACTATTAGGTAACAGTACGATACATAATTTTTTTCTCTGTTAAAGTATGTTTAACATTTTAGGGTTGTGCGAACATCTTTCAAAGATTTCACATTTATTGCACTTTGTGATATTATCAACTTAGTGTGAGCTGGAACAAAGAACTAAAGTGGCAGCTGTGAACAAGTTTCATGACCCAACATATTCTATGCTTCCAAATAGCCTCCTACTGGTGCACTTTGGCTGCTGAAGGAAACTGATGAAGCAACATAGGCCTAATTTGGCAGGTAGTAATGCATGCCTTCTGTGCCTGAGGTTATCTATGAGCTTGCGTGCGAGCTCTCAGAGGCTACTGATTTTACTACCACCCTATTCTTTAAATGAATACTTTATGATAAAACTGTGAGGCAGACTGCCATTACTTTCTTGTTTTGGGAATTTCATTCTGAACCCGGCTTTAGTTCCGAATGAGCCATTAATATGGAAGAACTATGAGGCCAGTTGAGTTGTAATTCTTGAGTTTGCTTGTTTTAGGGCAGTGACTTATTAGGCAGTGAAGCCATAGCCAGCATGACAGCCTTGGAGAATGCATCTACCAAATGAACCATCTAGCATTGACAGTTCCCACATTTCTAAACTCTAATTTCCTTAAAATAAATAAAACATCTGTGCAATAATGCTGTATCTTGATGTCACTAGTGCTTCAATGGTGTAATTAATTTTGTTTTCAAATATTGGTATGGTGTATATATAAATGTGTTTATTTGATCCTAGTGTAGAACATTGGGGTAGGGGACCATTTACATGTGTGATCAGTAAAATTCTAGACCTTGTTAATCACCAATCCAAAGAACCTATTCATATCTAAACATTTTCCTTGTAAGTCTCCTTGCTCAAGGAAGCATGTCTGATCTGTTGTCATTGACAGGGTGAACAATTGCATTTCAGAGCAGGACATTTAAGCTTGAGCTTCCACAAAGTTCTGTAAACTGCTGCAGTAGGCACAGCTTTATAAGGGGGGCATGAATTACTTTTAAGTTTGAAAGAGTTGAGGTCTTCTGACATTATTCTGTTTTCACTGCTGAATTGTCAGATTCTCCTCTCTTTGAATATCTTGTGTGAATGTGATCAACTTTTTATGGGTCCACATCAAGAGGATATAGGAGTACTACATAAAAAAGTGGGCTATCCTTTTCCCCAAAGCGCAGCTCTTTCTGGTTATAAGAAGTAGTTGCTTTAATATAAAATACATTGACAATACTAATATCCTGTCTGACATCAATCAACTACTGTAATCATTTTTTACCTACAGTATATATGGGTTGATTATCAGTAGGTTAGACCTAAAATGGCTCTAACCATCAGGATAACTGTCACATCTGGATACAGATCCACATGATATTTTTTAGCAGCTCAGTTGTGCTAAATAAAATCTAATGAAATAGTTTTCTTTGTATCACAGTGGTTTTAATGTGAGGTGCTACCGAAATACATTTTCAGTAATGTGACTAAGTGGTCAAACTTCCAAGATTGCACAATACTATGATTTAATCATGTTGCAGAACTATTGGCAAACAAGCTGTGAATGTTCTCATTTAGCCAGGTCACATTATAGCTAGTAGTTATTTGTTACATTCAGCTATACTTATAAGCAACTCAGTCACCCTACTCCAATCACCATGGATTGTGCCAAGGCAGATGTTAATTGTTCAGAAACATGACAGGAGGTGTGAAAGCTTCCGAAACCCACTATTAAATTATGTTATTAGAAGAGGATGTTTTCACAAATGTTCACAACTCCCATCGTGTTCTTGATACATTTCATGTTGGTTGAATGAAGATGACTGAGGTGACCTGCATAGTTTTAAATTCCTGAGTATGCTCCTGGCACTCTTTAGAATGGAAGAGGCTACTTGGATCATTGGCAAATATCTTCAGAACATTACAAAAAAAGTTCAATGTGAGTAAATACTACTAGCTATTGGAGAAATGAATAGCTAAACAATCGCCAGTTTAGGAAACTCCTGGGAGATTTTCACAGCCATACTCTTTGACATTATTCTCATCTACAGTCGTCAAGCAATCTCCTTCAGGAGCAAAAGAGCATCCAAGATTAAAAATTTACATTGTATCTCTAGCCTTAGTTTGCATCTTCATAGAATGGATTCAGGCTGAACTCTGCCCTCAATTCAAAAACTGGCAAGAAGGAAGGATATGTCTCCTCCAAAAAAGGCTTCTTACCCTCCTGTTTGCAAGTTACTTTAGAGCAGTGGTTCTCAACCTTTCTAACGCCGCGACCCCTTAATACAGTTCCTCATGTTGTGGTGACCCCCAACCATAAAATTATTTTCGTTGCTACTTCATAACTGTAATTTTGCAGTAGGAGGAATAGTGCCACGTCATTGGTGTCAGTGGGAGGAATAGTGCCCCGTCATTGGTATCAGTGGGAGGAATAGTGCCCTGTCATTGGTATCAGTGGGAGGAATAGTGCCACGTCATTGGTGTCAGTGGGAGGAATAGTGCCCCCTTCATTGGTGTCAGTGGGAGGAATAGTGCCCCGTCATTGGTGTCAGTGGGAGGAATAGTGCCCCGTCATTGGTGTCAGTGGGAGGAATAGTGCCCCGTCATTGGTGTCAGTGGGAGGAATAGTGCCCCGTCATTGGTGTCAGTGGGAGGAAAAGTGCCCCGTCATTGGTATCAGTGGGAGGAATAGTGCCCCGTCATTGGTATCAGTGGGAGGAATAGTGCCCCGTCATTGGTATCAGTGGGAGGAATAGTGCCCCGTCATTGGTGTCAGTGGGAGGAATAGTGCCCCGTCATTGGTGTCAGTGGGAGGAATAGTGCCCCGTCATTGGTGTCAGTGGGAGGAATAGTGCCCCGTCATTGGTGTCAGTGGGAGGAATAGTGCCCCCTCATTGGTGTCAGTGTGAGGAATAGTGTCCCATCATTGGTGTCAGTGGGAGGAATAGTGTCCCATCATTGGTATCAGTGGGAGGAATAGTGTCCCATCATTGGTATCAGTGGGAGGAATAGTGCCCCATCATTGGTGTCAGTGGGAGGAATACTGCCCCATCATTGGTGTCAGTGGGAGGAATAGTGCCCCATCATTGGTGTCAGTGGGAGGAATAGTGCCCCATCATTGGTATCAGTGGGAGGAATAGTGCCCCATCATTGGTATCAGTGGGAGGAATAGTGCCCCATCATTGGTATCAGTGGGAGGAATAGTGCCCCATCATTGGTATCAGTGGGGGGGAATAGTGCCCCATCATTGGTATCAGTGGGAGGAATAGTGCCCCATCATTGGTATAAGTGGGAGGAGGAATAGTGCCCCATCCTTGGTGTCAGTGGGGGGAGGAATACTGCCCCATCCTTGGTGTCAGTGGGGGGAGGAATAGTGCCCCATCCTTGGTGTCAGTGGGGGGAGGAATAGTGCCCCATCCTTGGTGTCAGTGGGGGGAGGAATAGTGCCCCATCCTTGGTGTCAGTGGGGGGAGGAATAGTGCCCCATCCTTGGTGTCAGTGGGGGGAGGAATAGTGCCCCATCCTTGGTGTCAGTGGGGGGAGGAATACTGCCCCATCCTTGGTGTCAGTGGGGGGAGGAATTGTGCCCCATCGTTGGTGTCAGTGGGGGGAGGAATCGTGCCCCATCGTTGGTGTCATTTGGGGGAGGAATCGTGCCTCATCGTTGGTGTCAGTGGGGGGAATAGTGTCCCATCGTTGGTGTCAGTGGGAGGAATAGTGCCCCATCGTTGGTGTCAGTGGGAGGAATAGTGTCCCATCGTTGGTGTCAGTGGGAGGAATAGTGCCCCATCATTGGTGTCAGTGGGAGGAATAGTGTCCCATCGTTGGTGTCAGTGGGAGGAATAGTGCCCCATCGTTGGTGTCAGTGGGAGGAATAGTGTCCCATCGTTGGTGTCAGTGGGAGGAATAGTGCCCCATCATTGGTATTAGTGACACCAATGATGGGGCACTATTCCCACTGACACCAATGATACTTACCTTGCAGACCCCTGCTCCAGCCTGGGCTCGCTCGCTCCCTCCCTCTCTCCCATGGTACCAACACTTACCTGTCAGATGTCTTCTTTCTCCGGCCGCTCTCCTCCTCTTCACTCGCTCGATCTTCGCGGTGCCGCTCGGCTCCTCCTCTCCAAGCTCCACCTCTTTGCCGGTGATTGGCCGCCTGTGTGCCTCTCCTGAGCTACAGTGCCGGTGGCCAATCACAGGCGAGGATTGATCTCGAGGTGTGTCCAGATGACAGGGGCGGCATGTCATCCCGCCCACACCTGGAGACGGCGGTGGCGGCGGCGGCGGCGAGGAGCGGTGTC